TTCATTCGATCAACATGTCATCCTTGTTAATATTAACATTAAAATGTCAATTAAAGAGAAAGAAAAAAAAGAGAAAAAAGAAAGAAAGAAAAAGAAAAAGATTTTCAATGAATTACAATGAAATAATAAATAAAAAAGAAATGAATAAGATGAATCATGACTGACATTTTGGGGTGGGGGGGGGTATGGAGGGATAGATATTCAGTATCTTCCTTTGTAATGAATATACATTGACAGTGATAATAATAATAATAATGATCAAGTATCAATATTGGTAATCATAAGAATAATGATAAAACTGATTGCATTTTCAAACAATAAAAAGTGTAAAACGGATTTTTTTTAATTTTTTTATTTACAACGAACTGTTTCGATGAAAATGACTTCAAGGATGATGATGAGGAGGAGGGGGGAGGTGGAGGTGAAGGTGGAGGAGAAGGAGGAGGTGGTGATGGAAACATGGAGATGAGATGAAATTTGTTTTTTTTCTTGTGTGTATATGATGATTGACATGTTGAATAATATAAAGGATGATACAATATAATAGTAACAAAGGATCCATATCGAAATGATGTAAACAACTAGTATCATGGATGAAAACAAGTGAAGTTATTCAGCATAGAAATTGTTGTAGTACTATGGTGAAAATAGGATTGAGAAAAAAAAATTTGATGAAATAGACTGATTTTTTTTGTTTTTTTTTGTTTGTTTTTAAGTTTTGTATTACCATTCAGAAAAAATGCAATGGTGGTGGTGGGGGGGTTGGGGATGGATATAGAAAGAAGCATATTAATTTGTATAAAAGTTATTTTCCCCTTTATGGGTATCTATTGAAATTCATTAAGTTTCAATTGTTTCTATGATATTGGGAACAACAAAGAAAACCATGTTGTTGTTGTTGTTGATGATGATGACGATGTTGACGACGATGATGATGATGATGATGATGACAATAATAACAAGAATAGTGAAATGATAAGAAAAGGTAACTCATTTATTATGACAACAACAATGAAGTTTTTTGATGAGAATTAATCTTGTCAGTTAGTATAAATGAACTTTGTATTTTAATTCATGAAAGATACAAAGAAAGAGTTTGTTACATCATTATTGTCTGATATAAAGTCATATTGAATGAGACTATCATAAGTTTATGGATGATCTTTGAGCAAAGTTCAAGTGACCTTGAGAATGTTTACCTATTTACTAAAGTTAAATTTCATGTGTAATTGATTGTTGTATTTGTTGTTTGAGTTTTCCCCCCACTGATGTTTAGGACAGTGGTAGATGTGTCGCGCAATTACGTGGATTGGTTGAAGTTAGACATTAACACCGTTGGATGTCGGCCATCTCAGTGGTCTAGTTGGTTAAGCGCCTGGCGCGAAACTGATAGGTCCTGGGTTCGAATCCTGCGAGGCGGGGTCGTGGATGAGCACTGCTTAGGAGTTCCACAATAGGACGAAACGACCGTTCAGTACTTCCAGGTTTTCCATGATGTTCTAGATTCAGTTGACTCATCGTTTCAACTATTGAAATTACTATAATATCCACAAAAACACCTTTCTGATATTAATCGACATATACTAACTAGTGACTGGCTTAAAGAAGTATATCGTTCAGTTCTAGTGAGAATTAGTAAACAGTGGAATTTAACCAGGTCTGTTGTGAGATAGTAACTCAAGGAAGACAATGGTGGATATGTGGCTCAATTTCGTGGATTAGTTGAAGTTAGACATTAGGACGGTTGGATGCCGGCTCAGTGGTGTAGGAGTTGAGTGTTGACGCGTGAGACTGATATGTCCTGTGTTGGAATCTCGCAAGGCGGGATCGTGGATGATCATTGCCACTGAGAAGTTCCAAATTGATCAAAACGGCCGTCTAATGCTTCCAGGATTTGTATGGTGGTCTAGCTTCAATTGGTTCATGACCACAACTTATTTATTAGTCATTGGTATAAGAAGGCACCAGATATATATACGCCACACAATGAGAATGGGAAGAGAAAAAGAATGTAAGATGAGTATGAGAAAAAAAGAAGAACAACAACGACCGCAGATTAGTGTATGGTAGTGTATTAATAATAATAATAATAACAAAAATAATAACAACAATAATGGGGGAAACAGAAAGGCAAAACCAGAAAGAATTCTTTCAGTTAAGGAAGGTACAACCACTTTTTATGAAGAAAGTAAAACAAAGTTACAGCACGATCGCCACTGGCTTCTATTCTCAGCCATATCTGATAACGTCCCAAGCCACTGTGTTGCACCATCTCTCGGATCCCAGCCTCGAAGTCGTGAAGGACCAACACAAGCCAGTCCTTTGTAGCTTTCTTTCATACCACGACACCATGTCATACACTGACCATCTCTCCACTTTTTTCAACCAGTCCCAGAGTTGGCAAATAATGCACGACGTAGAATTCTCTGGGATGACATTCGGAGAACATATCCAAACCACCGAAGTCGGTGTTTCAAGATGGTGACACCAGTTGGGTTATCATCTCTGTGTCCGAACACACGATGCCGAACCTCTGCATTACTGACATGGTGTTGCCACTGAATGTCAGCAATCCTTCGGAAACAACGATGATCAAACACATAGAGTTGTCTAACATCCTCAGCTCGGAGAGTTTAGGATTCCCAAGCATAGAGCAAAACTGCTCTCACGTGGCTCAATTTCGTGATTTAATTGAAATTAGACGTTAACACCATTGGATGTCGACCAGCTCAGTTGTCTAGAGGTCGAGCGTTCACCCGTGAGAGGAATCATGAATTCACAATGCTGAGGAGTACCACAATAGGGCTAAACGGCCATCCAACGCTTCCAGGATTTCAGTGATAGTCTAACATCAATCGATTCATCATCTCAAGTAAAAACTTGATAATCTCCACAACTCTTATACTGAAAATCAAAACAGTATAACTTTTTGGTGACTTTTAATATATATATATATATATATATATATATATATATATATATATACCTGTCAAATCAATGTTTTTGAAAGTGAAATCCAGACTGATATGAAGGATTCTAATGATAAAATGGTTAGCAGAAAAGTTACAGACAGGAATATATACCTATATTCATATTTATCAATACTGATACTTTTATAGTCTATACTATATGGATATATGTATATATGTATATATATATATATACACACACTTGAAATGGATATATTTATTCAGTCTTTCATATTCTAAAAAATAAACAGACAACAGTAACATGCTGTTTTTAACTACGTCCTAGACAGTTTTAATCAACGACAGAATAATGGAAGTAATATCCATATCTATCTAACTATCTATCTATCTATATCTATCTATAATCTTAACTATCATTAATCACTTTACATTGAAAATCAATGAAATTGTGGACTAAATGAAAGAGGAATACTTTGAACTTATCAATGTAAAACGGAAATGGTCTAAATGAAAAAGAAATGTCTGTGAATATATGAATATATATAGTGCAATTTAATGACGGATAACCTAATTAGAGTAAGACAGTATAGTACTGATGGTTAAATTCTCAAATTATATATATATAATTTCAGTAGTTGTAATCATGAATCAATTGAAGCTAGACCACCATACAAATCCTGGAAGCATTAGACGGCCGTTTTGTTCAATTTGGAAATTCTCAGTGGCAATGATCATCCATGATCACGCCCTGCGAGATTCCAACACAGGACATATCAGTCTCACGCGTCAACACTTAACTCCTACACCAATGAGCCGGCATCCAACCGTCTTAATGTCTAACTTCAACTAATCCACGAAATTCAGCCACATATCCACCATTGTCTTCCTTGAGTTACTATCTCACAACAGACCTGGTTAAATTTCACTGTCCACTGCTTCTCACTAAAACCTCAGGATGTACCTCTTAAAGCCAGTCACTAGTTAGTATATGTTGATTCATATCAAAAGGGTGTTTTTGTGGATATTATAGTAATTTCAATAGTTGAAACGATAAGTCAACTGGAATCTAGAACATCATGGAAAACCTGGAAGTACTGAACGGTCGTTTTGTCCTATTGTAGGACTCCTTAGCAGTACGCATCCACGATTCATAAAACTACATTTTCAAACAATTTCACTTCATTCACTATGTATTCCATTAAGTAACTACAAAATTCAATCCAAAAAAGTATTGACTCCATTATCTTTTTTTTTTAATTTATCATCCAATCAAAAAAAAAACAAAAAGAAAAAGAAAAAAAGAGAAAAAAAAGGAGAAAAGAAAAACAGCAATGAAAAATTATTTATAAAATTTACAAAAAATTTTTTATCAAACGTTGTCAAATTCATTAAAAGTAAAGAAAAAAGGAGAAAAAACTAATCCATATCTGATCACTATTTCGTTACATTACTCTTTTTTCTCTTTCTTTCTCTCTCTCTCTCTAAATAACAAAAATGTATATCAATATTTCTTTTTCTTTTCTTTTTTTTCTCTCTCTGTATTTCTCACATTCATTCAAAACATTGATTAATGACAATAAAGAGTATCCTGAGGCGAGAACAAGTATGAAAGTGTGAAACTCACTGAAAGAGGTAAAGTGTGTGTGTGAGAGACAGAGGGAGGGGTGGGCTGCGAGTTAAGATATATATATATATATAAATGAATGATTGGATAAAGTAAGTAGAATATTGACGTGTACAATAATATCGGTTGCTAGTACTACTACTACTACTACTATCACTACTACTGCCACTACTACTACTAACACCGGTACTACTATAATTTCGACAGTGATATGCTTTCTATCAACCTTACCCCCTTGTCCCCTCCCCCATTTATCTAAAAAAATGCATAAATAATGAGTAAACATTTAACGTTGAAAAAAATGCCCACTATAAACTATAACTTGTATAGTGAAACAAAAAAAAACAATGAAGCTAAATAAATAATATATTGAAGGGGAGAAAAAGAAAAATAAGATAGAATCCTAAAACAAAACAAAAAAACAAAAGAATGAATTGAATAATGAATTAATTCTGACAGTAAATGAGCACAAAATTGTTTCGATTAGTTGAGTTATTGTTCGTAGTAACAATAGTAGTAGTAGTAGTAGTAGTAGTAGTCGTAGTAGTGGTAGTAGTAGTAGTAGTAGTAGTAGTAGTAGTAGTAGTAGTAGTAGTAGTAGTAGTAGTAGTAGTAGTAGTAGTAGTAGTAGTAGTAGTAGTAGTAGTAGTAGTAGTAGTAGTAGTAGTAGTAGTAGTAGTAGTAGTAGTAGTAGTAGTAGTAGTAGTAGTAGTAGTAGTAGTAGTAGTAGTAGTAGTAGTAGTAGTAGTAGTAGTAGTAGTAGTAGTAGTAGTAGTAGTAGTAGTAGTAGTAGTAGTAGTAGTAGTAGTAGTAGTAGTAGTAGTAGTAGTAGTAGTAGTAGTAGTAGTAGTAGTAGTAGTAGTAGTAGTAGTAGTAGTAGTAGTAGTAGTAGTAGTAGTAGTAGTAGTAGTAGTAGTAGTAGTAGTAGTAGTAGTAGTAGTAGTAGTAGTCGTAGTCGTAGTAGTAGTCGTAGTCGTAGTAGTAGTAGTGGTAGTAGTAGTAGTAGTAGTAGTAGTAGTGGTGTTAGTAGTGGTAGTGGTAGTAGTAGTAGTAGTAGTAGTAGTAGTAGTAGTAGTAGTAGTAGTAGTAGTAGTAGTAGTAGTAGTAGTAGTAGTAGTAGTAGTAGTAGTAGTAGTAGTAGTAGTAGTATGAGGAGGAAGGGGAGGAGGAGGAGGTGGAGTATTTCTCATTTGCTTTTCTTTTCTTTGATTTCTCTCGCTCTCACTTGCTCTCTCACTTACTCTCTTGTTTTATTTGAAACCAACATGAACTTGAAGTACTGGATACTAAAAAGTAAACTGTTTCTGTGTCTGTGTCTGTGTGTGTGTGCGGGGGGTGGGGTGTTTATAATATCTAATGTTGTTTCTTACTATTCATTACTATCAATTGTTTATGATTGAATAGATGATGTTGGAATGGATACTTTTTTTCGTTATTCATTGACTGAAGAAATAAATAACTCAGTGATTCGTTGTTGTTGTTGTTGTTCTCGTTGTGCTCGTCGTCGTTGTTGTTGCTGTTGTTGTTTCGTTTCTTTTCTTTCTGGCAGAACATAAAGTATACTTGTATTATTATTATTTTACTTCTCCTTTTTCTTTTGTTTAGATAGTTAAAGAGATAAATTGTAGTTTGTTTGCTTAAGTTTCTTGAAAGAAGAATAAATAACTTAAGATTCTTTTATAGATTGAAATGTATCCCATTTTACATTTGATTAATTTTGTAAATAATATTGGTAATTTATGTATTGAGATAATGTTTATCATTGAATGAATTCAATTGAAGTAATAGTGAATAATTTTTTTTGGTTCTTGAATATAGACCGGTGACAGGTAAGGTTGCTTACTCTCACCCTTTCTCTTTCTCCTGGTGATCGACTGGATCATGAAGAAGTCAACATCTAAAGGGAAACACGGGATACAGTGAACATATAGGATGCAGTTGGACGATCTAGAATTCGCAGATGATCTGGCCCTTCTATCGCAAACGAAACAACAAATGCAGGAGAAGACGACCAGTGTAGCAGCAGTCTCAGCAGCAGTAGGTCTCAATATACACAAAGGGAAAAGCAAGATTCTCCCATACAACACAGCATGCACCAATCCAGCCACAATTGACGGAGAAGATTTGGAAGACGTAAAATCAGTTACATATCTGGGCGGCATCATTGATAAATAGGGTGGATCTGATACAGATATGAAAGCGCGAAAGGCAAGAGTAGCATATTTACAACTGAAAAACATTTGGAACTCAAAACAACTGTCTGTCGACCAACAGTAAAATCAACATTTTCATTACAAATGCCAAGACAGTTCTACTGTATGAGGCAGAAACCTAGAGAACTACGAAACCCATCATTCAGAAGATACAAGTGTTCATTAACAGTTGTCTACGCAAAATATTTCAGATCCGTTGGCCAGACACTATTAGCAAAAACCTACTATGGGAGAAAACAAACCAGATCCCAGCAGAGGAAGAAATCAGGAACTAGCGTTGGAAGTGGATAGGACACACATTGAGGAAAGCACCAAACTGCGTCACAAGTCAAGTCCTCCCATGAAATCCTCAAGGCCAGTGGGGGGGTGAAGAGGAAGACCAAAGAACACAGTACGCCGAGAAATGGAGATATACATGAGAAAAATGAACAAGAATTGGATGAAACTAGAAAAGAAGGCCCACGACAGAGTGAGTGGGTTGGAGAATGTTGGTCTGTGGCCTATGCTCCATTAGGAGTAACAAGCGTAAGTAAGTAAGTCTTGAATATGGAACTTCACTATAGTGTACACTCTTTACTTTACACATGAGACTGAAGGTTTTGGGTATAGGATCGTGAATGAGTACTTCTCTAGAATCCCATGGTAGAATGAAACGATCGTCCAATTCTTCCACGTTTTCAATGGTGGTCTAGTTTAAATCGACTCAGGAATACTGGAGATGCTTACTGATACTAAATAAATACACATTAACTAACGATAATGTTTTACGGTACCATAGTCGTTAAGAAATGATCTATAGATTAGTGTTTTGATTATTAAGTTATGAGTCTAAATTTGCCTGACCACAATAATTAAAGTCTTGCACTTTTGTCAGATATCAAGGAATCATAGCTTTGAGACACATATGGAGAAATTCAAACACTTCACTTCTATCTGAAGTTTGTGCTGATGATGTCGTTCAGAAGTACGATGAAAGCTCCACGACCAAACCATCCAGCTCAGAGAACAAAACTCCACCAAAATCATCCACCTGAGCTACAAATCTTCTCCACCATCTCAAAATCATAGAGAGGGTGAATGTGATTTAAAGAAATCGAAGCAATATTATGTTTGTCTGGTCTTTAGTGCCCACTGTGATCCATTGATTCAATCACAATACGATTATTAGAATGAATGACTAGACGATCCATCATATGGTGCTTTTTATGTAGTGATTGGAAACAATTGGAAGTTAACCGTTGATGTTGGTTACGGGCAAGTTGGTACTCGATCGTAACTCTAGAAGTCTATGTGATACTATACACGTAATATGAGATATAGTCATTATGATAATAATAATAATCTTGCGATCAACAATGTTTCCTGTGAGTTACATAAACTTGATTTATTCACAGTCAGAGAAATTGGTAATGGAGTGATTCACATATCATTTGACTGAAACACAACATGGGGAACTGTCAAATTATTCATTTTATTCTAATTAATAAGTAGATAAAATTCATTTGGTGTTATTATAATTGTATCTTCCCATTGTTATGTAGGACTGCAATTGATCAGCTAGTGGATATCAGGACTGACTAGTTAAGTGAATAATGTGATGGCGTCTGAAGTGAATGGTACTGGGTTCGAATCTCGGAATGAACATCGAGACCAGGATGTAGGCACATCAAGCTGACGAGTTCCAAATAAGATGAGACGCACGTTCTGGATTCCAATTGCTAGTCACTATCCATCGTTGCTTAATAAGTTGATACTTTTTTTAAATATGAAACTCCTCTGCGATATTGAATGGTAAGCAAAAATAATGGCGTATGAACCTGTTGTTGGACACTAACTACCATGGGACTGAATTTCTTTACGTGGCTCCACCGCATTTAAGATTATACTTCTAGGTAGAAAACACCCCATGAAATGATAACATGTGGAGTTACCGAATCAAGAAAATGACAATAACTTAGCAGTAATATTGTACAATTGCGTTATATTTAGGATATGAATGAGTTCGAAAAATTCGGATCATTGAGTTAATCAATAATTGTTAATAATCAGATCAGAAGATTGTATGTTTGTTCTCTTGTAAAGTCAAAGGTGGACAGTGTTTAGAAATCCCAAACAATACAAAATTTGTTAGTGGTATTCTTTACTGATCTCATTTAGATTACTATTAAGAACCAAAGAACATCAACACATCTGTTTCGTCCTGGCGTATAATTCTTCAAGTTCCTTCATCCATGACACCATGAGGAGTTGATCTTGAAGTCTTTCATTCTCAGAGTTAATGAGGTTGAAAATCTGTATTAATGAGTTAACACATTAGTTTAAATGTTTTGCGCTCACTGTAAGGCATGAGGGTCAACCGTTTCATTCTTGATAAAGTTATATGCAAAAACTTCTAAGAAGTCTCATACTGGAATAAAACAAGTATTCTATACTCTCTAGTTTCCAGTAATACTGAGATTAGTCTATGTCAAATATCACTTATAAATCGAAGAAATATCTGTCAAATTCCTACATAAAAAAGAAACCGTTTTTCGAAGTTGATTGATCACTAGGTGGCGATCCATGTCATGTGTGTCAGGTCCTTCATAGTGCAGATCGAATGGTATCGACCAAGTTACAATGTGTCCACTAGTCTAAATAACTCAACATTACGTGCACTATGTTAGTCGATAGTATTCCATCTGCACTATAAAGGGCCTGACACACATGATATAGGTCACCATCCAGTGATTAATCAATTGTGAATACATCTCTATCTTACAGGAGATCAGTCATGACCCGGATAGCTCAGTGATAACATATCGCACTTTGAAACTGGGTGACATGCAGTCGAATCCGTCTGAGAGGGGAGGGCATCAGTTCCCTCAATATTACAAGTACACCTTATTGACGAGTGCCAGAGTTTCCTGTTAACTACCTTCAATCACCATCTTATCTTAAACCCTTTTTCTTCTTTTTTTTTCAAAATTATCACTATATTCAAACAGTATAATCTGATAAACGGTTTTTGTATACACTTCTCAAATTACATAAAAACCTAGACTAGAAATAACAATCTTGTTTTAATGTATATCAAATTACTTACATACATTATTAACATGCCCCAGCAAATCTTAACTCAAGCATAATGAATAGTGAATTAATGATGTTGATAATGATGATGATGATGATGATGAGAAGGAGGAGGAGGATGAGGAGGAGGAGGATGAGGATGATAATCATAAAGACAAGTTGACAATTACATAAAGTCTACTTGACCTAACCAACCTACAATTAGATTGTATCTTGTAAATGTTTCAAGAGTTAAATTTTAACAAATGTTTACTGATTCTACTTCATCATAAAAATTGAATGAATGAACGAACGAACGGGAGAACGAACGAGTGAACGAACGGGAGAATAATAATAACAAAAAAAATAACTGATTTTAACACGCCACTTAAGGATAGTAAAAACGTGTTACTGTCTGTCTATGTAAGTGTGTTTGTGGTCATGTGCATGTGTGTGTGTTCATGTTCGTTAGACTAAACAATAGCAATGAAATAATAAGTGATTATTTCACAGATTGAAATCATGAGTCAGTTGAAGCTAGACCACCATTGAAAACCTGGAAGCACTGGATGGCCGTTTCGTCCTAGTATGGGACTCCTCAGCAGTGCGCATCCATTCTGATAATAATCAACTGCTCACTAGTGACTGACTTCAGGAAAAACTCCCGAAGTTCTAGTGAGAAGCCGTTACCAGTGGAGTTCAACCAGGTCTGTTGTGAGATAGGAACTCACTGAAGACAATGGTGTACGGTGGTGCAACTTCATGGATTGGTTTGAAGTTAGACATTAACACTGTTGGATGCCGGTTGGTTTAGTGGTCTAGTTGGTTAAGTGCTCGCACGCTAGATTGATAGGTCCTGGGTTCGAATCACGCGGGGTGCGAGATCGTGGATGCGCACTGCTGAGGAGTCCCGTACTAGGACGAAA